CCGCCGTCGCTTTGAGTGCATCCTGCCCCCACGCCCCCCGTCTCACCTGCCAGCTCCAGGCCCAGCAGCCTCCCAGCCTCGGCTCCACTCTGGCGGCGCCGCCCTTCCCTCAGGTTGCCAGGGGAAGGCCCCACCCAAGGGAGGCAGGTGCACTCCCTCCTCCTCGGCCCCACCCGGGATCAGGAAACAAAGTCCAGAGGAGGAGGGAGAAAGCGGATACCCAGGCACCATGCCCACTGCACTCTGCCCCCAGCCCCGGCCCCGGCCCCCAGGGCCTCCAGCCCCCGGAGCTGGAATTCACCCGAAACCGCCCTCTAGCTGCCACCTGGCTTTCCCACACCCTCAGTGCCACGCAGAGAGGAGACATCGTGCCCAGGGCCACACAGCAGGTACAGGAACCAGCTGCCCATTTCTGGGTTGTGGGGTCGGAGTCCCATACCGCCATGGTGCCACCTGGCTCCACCCACCTTTGGGGCTACTCCCCAGAGTCCTTTTCTGGGACAAGCTCGGCCAGCCGGCGTCTGGGGGAGTCAGCGGGTCCGGGTTCAAATCCCCGCAGCCTCTCTGAACCTGTTTCCTTCTCATGAAACGGGCCATCACACAGCGGGGAGGATGCCCGGGCCACTGGGGTCGGACATAAAGAGCCGACTGAAGACCCAAAGTGGCAGAAATGGTGGTGGGTGGGCACGGCCCGGGTCCCGCTGCCACATGGAGCACAGAGGCCCTAACTGGGCGGCGGGTCCTCCCAGGGGCTCAGCTGTCCCACCCGATTCTTGGTTGAGGTGCAGAGCGTGGCCAGGGCGGCAGGAGCCCCGTGTTTACAGGGAAGTCAGGGCACTGGGACCAGCGGCCAGTCTATGGGGCCAGGGACACAGTAGGTTGGGCGGGGGCTGTGTCCTGCCCTTGGCTGGCTGCAGGGTCCCTCTCAACCGCAGTCTCTTCTTCCATCGAGTGGGCCTGAGCCCCAAACCGGGCCGGCCTGCCTGGGATGAGGGTTTGAGGCAGGTCCAGACACAGGGCCCAGCCCAGAAGGACAGCTGGAGCGTTCAACATGGGCCAGTTCTGGCGCCGGCCTGCCTGGGATGAGGGTTTGAGGCAGGTCCAGAAACAGGGCCCAGCCCAGGACAGCTGGAGCGTTCAACATGGGCCAGTTCTGGCAAAACCTGGGGCTGGGATTGGAACCTGCCCACCATCCTTACCGCCCTATTGGGGAAACTGAGGCCCCAATGGCAGAGACTGTCACCCAGTGTGCTGGGAGCACTGTGGAGACAAGCACCCAATGTCCTGCTCCCAGACGGGGGGCCCACTCAGGGTCCAAAGCATTGAACAGATGGGCAAACTGAGGCCCAGGGGGACAGCGACTTTCCCAGTCACAGTGAGGTCAAATGGGGTTGCAGCCCCCATAACTGCGTCCTCCCCCATGGCCCCATCTATTTTTTCAGGGGCCGGTTCCCTCTAGAACTCGGGGGTGTCTGTGGGATCCTTTCTGTTTCTTGGGGTGCTGCGAGCCAGCAAGGGGCAGCCTCCCCGCCCAGGGATGAGAGGGGCAGGGCGGGTCTGGAATGGGGGCCTCCACAGGAAACAGAAAGCAAGTCCTGCCACTGGCTGCTGCCCCTTTACCTCCAGGTCTTACCTGCCCAGGTGCTGCTCGGATGTGTTCAAGCGTAGGTGTGGCCTCCACCAATGTCCCCACCTCAGTCCCAGGTGAGCTGGAAGAGCGCAGGGCCCCACGCAGCCTCCCTTTAAGGCCACCCAGGCGGGCCCCACCCACGCCCTGGCTGGCCACATCCTCCCGGCCCCAGAGAAAGCAAGAACTCCAGGACCCAGGGCGTTCACGGGGTTTATTTGCTTCTCTGGGAAAGTCAGGAACACGGGCCTGTCACACATCGAAAGCAGAGGGGGCAGCAAGGGCACTTCAGCGTAGGCTCTCGGCTCGAGGACTTGGCGGCTCGAGAAGGGAGGGGGGCCATGCCACTGCTGGGGGCCGCCTCAGAGAGGGCCTCTCCCCCCACCCCCAAGGGGCAGAGCTGAGACAGGCCGGGCTGGTTTCAGGCAGCCCTTGCGTGGCTCCTCGGAGGCAGTGGTGAGGGGGCTGCCTCTGCCTGGGCACCAGGAGTGGGGGCCCAGGGGAGGAGCCCAAGATGGGGCCTGCTCATCCTACAGCCTACACAGGAGAGGGTGCGTAAGCGTGGGCATGAATGTGCCTCTGAGGATGAGTGTGGCTGCAACCTGGGAGAGGTGTGTGCACACCTGGGAGTCAGCTACCCAGAGGAGGAGAGTCCGTCACCCCTCACCCCTTCCAACGAGGTGGGGGGAGGCTCACACTGGGCTGGGTAGCCAATGGGGGTCTCCTGCTGCAACCAGGGGGCGCTCCCTGCCCCAGGCTGTGGGCCCCTCCACTGCCCAGAATGTGCCAAGCCTAGCAGAGCTGGCAGTCGGCCTGATCTCTGGGGTACGGTTAGGGAGACCCAGGACTCTGGCCCAAGTAGGCTGGAGAATGGGCTGGGGCAGCCCCCCAGGGTCCTCAAATTAGCACCAGGAGGAAGGAGGGCCCAGTGAGGGTGGGAGCTCAGGACAAGAAGTGGCTCACATGGCCCTGCCTTGTGCAGGGTGCAGCTCCAAGACCCTCACCGGCCCCATCCAGAAGACAGCACAGGGGTCAGAGACTCCCCCGAGTGGGGTGTGCGTCCTCTGGGCTCCCCCTTCCTAGGCCCCATCGTGCACTGGTCACGCCCATGGAGAGCATGAAGGGGAGGGCACATTGGGCTGGGGTGCCAGAGGGGCCCCCGCTTTATTCTAAGAACAGGAGCCTGGTCTCTGACTGAGGATCCCCAATGAGGCACAGCCTCACCCCAACTGCCCAAGATCCCGACACCAGTGCCTTTGCCAGGGAATCCCACTTCCAGGGGCTGAGTGGGGACAGAAAAGGTGCCCAGGACCCCTGGCTCTCCAGTCCCTCTCTGCGATGTCCCCTCGGAGACCTCACCGGAGGTGGCAGAAAGGCACAGGCAGGAGGCCCGGAGGGTAGCGGGCTTGCCTGGGGCGGCACAGAGGCCTGGGTCCCACCAGCCAGGAACTCTGTGGGCAAAAGCCCGTCTGTGGAGCTGCCGTGACACGTGGGGGATCCTCGTTTTGGGAGAAGTGGGTCTGTCCGTGTCTCTGTCCTACCAGGCACACAGCTCAGTGGTTTAGGGTGTGTCGGGGTGGGAATGGGCACGGGACCCCTGACCCTCTCTTTCCTGTTCTCAGAAGGAAGATGTGACAACATAGCATGTCCTGGGGTCCATGACTGTGGGTGGAGGGTGGGCAGGCCCCGGGGCCGGGCTGTGGGTCTCTGTGGTGTGGAGGGCGGGACCGGGGTCTGGGGCCTGCGGCTCACATGATGGAGCAGCATTTACAACGCTGCTTCTTCATGTCAAGGTCCTGGGTGTCGCTGGCAGGGGCCTCGGGCCCCACCTGGTTCTCCTCCCTGGAGCCTGAAGTGGTCGGGGGCTCGGCCGCACTGCCGTTGGGTGGGGCGGCCTCCTTGGGCTCGGCCTCGTCCCCGATGACCACCAGCTCCGCCGTGATGGTGTCCTGCAGCCCCAGCACTTTCTGGCTTTCTGCCTCATCCTCCACATTCTGGTACCC